CCCCCCCCCCCGGCCAGTAAACGAAGATGTCGGGGACCATTTCTCCGAGAGATAGGCTGCAGCTCTGGGTTAATACATTTTTGCTAAAGCAAAAGGAAAACTCAGGTAGCGTAACCGCTACCTTTCGTGATAAAGAAAACTAACTAGCATGAACGTCTGCAGATCTCGCAGTCTCCAACTCTTGCCCCAAGCCACATTCATCTTTAGCAATCCCTCCGTCCAGCCGCGGATCACCTCACTGCAGATGGCGAATGATGGTAATATATATATACATATGTGTCTTCGCCATCCATGGAGGCAGTAGTCAACCATTATTGGTTTGCGGGGGAAAACGACCATAGAACGTATCCCGAGTACTGTGCTCTCCCTGTTGCAGCAAACCGGTCGAACCGCCAGCGCCGCAAGGTCTGTCCTCACTCTGAAGGTCGGTCGTCCCGCGTGCCCGCGTGTCGGTTCTCGTCTGCATCCCGGTGAGAAGAACAGTCTGCACAAGACGACTGTAGGTCTTGTCATCTATGGTTGGCTTGGGTTTGCAGAAGAAAATGGTATACAAAAGGCTACGACCACCACCAGGGCAATAACTAGAAACCAAAAACAAACTTCAAACACAACAAGAATTAACATGAAAAGAACACAATACAAACAACATCAACACTCCGATTTCAATTCGCTTCTTCAAATCCTCATCAAACATTGACCTTATCCGGCCTTCTTGATGCCTCCTCGCTAAGGAAACAAACCAACATATGGTGCAAACTTCTCCCACTGTCCTCAAACATGCGCCCGATGACCTCTCCAACCTGGAACTGGACCTTCCCTCGAGTGCGGCTGGAATCGAAGACGTTTCCATCCGGCTGCCAGCCTGCAGGGCGCCAAGGGTCTCAGCAGTGGCTGTTGCCGATGAGTCGAAAAGGATGCACACCATGAACACTCGTTGACAATCCCTGCACAAACTCCAAAAACCTCTTGTTCAATGAAAACACTGAACTGCCACACGGGTGCGTATTAAAAATGGCAGACTTCCCAAAGACCCCCTGGCAAAGCAAAGACCAAAACCATGAACCAATAAGTGTCTCCCTATTACACACCCACATGTTGAAGAAAAAAGGCCAATGTTGTCTTAGCACCTGCCTGTGTAGGCCACTGAAACCTTGTCGAAGGCACGCGGCTTAGCACATTTGGTGGTCGCACAATCCTCGGGGGCGAAGGAACCGTCGGGCCGGGCCGCAGGGGAGTTGGGAGTCGTTGGCATGGAACCCACAGACACAAGGAATCCACAGACCCTGGAGACTGACCACATCGCATTCCTCTTTCAAATCAGTGCAACATATAGTGCAACTTCCGAAAGGGGTGGAACATGATGGAACAGGTTTTCCTTGGCCAGTTGACGATAATAATTTGGCATTCCCTGAGTGTAGCCACCGCGTGAGCAAGAATAAACATTCTTAAACATTTGGCTCTGCAGGTGGTTGGACTTGTCTAATTTGGTGCATGCATTGTCACGATGATCCCTTTCAAGCTAGCAAATCATGAAAATCGGTTGGCGTCACAACAATCACTTGCTCCTCGTGTTTGTGCTTTGGCACGTCGCAAGTGCCAGTGCACGTCGCAGAGTGATCCGAGGATCAAAACTTTTCGGCAAAAAAATCAGAGGATATCAAAGTAAAGGCAGCAACCAAAAAGTCTCAAGCGTATTGGCACCATTGGAGTATCTTGCATATATGAAATTAACCCTTCGGAGTAGAGTAGAGGTTGATGCTGAAGCAAGTCCAAAAACACACGGGTCCAAAATAGGAATTAGGGACGTGTCGTTCCGCACACAAGGACTTGAGATTTCACCCCAACATCCCGACTGACCACAAGGGACGACCTAGCCGGGATGCTTGTTTCTGTGTTGAAACCTTCTGAAACAGTCAGTGTTCCGTGACACTCGTGGTCCATGGAATTCCCGGTGGCCTAGTCAAAAAAAGAAGGACACCAAAGTGGCAAAGACCGTAATGATTGCCATGGACCGTAAAAAAAAACTAAAGACCTTCATTGAAACGGACAGATCCAAAACGGACAGGTCTACTTAGCCCAGACGCTTCGCGTGACGACGACGAGCTGCTGCGCCGCTGCGCCCCGATCTTTCGAGCCACACCCGTTGACGTCAACTGTCTTTCCATCTATCTGTCAACGGTCTTCTCTGTCAACGGTCTGTCAACGGTCTTCATCCGTCCTTTTTGTTTGTGTTCCCATCTGTATTCCCGAAAAACCTCAGACTTAAACCAGATCCACAGCTTGTGAAAAGCATCTGCAGCTTTCAGAATCTTCCACTTCAGCCCACTGGGACTCACCTGGCCAGTGAAAACCACCGCACGCAGTTCCCCGCACAATCTGCGAGCGCATGTGGCCGCGCGTGATGTGAGGAAGGAAGGAAGGAAGGAAGGAAGGAAGGAAGGAAGGAACTAAGGAAGGAAGGGAGGAACCAACACGAGTCGAGTGACACCACTCCATTACTCCTTGCTCCTTGCAAGTCCTTGCACGAGTCATGATCACGAGTACCATTTTTCAATCCCGAAAGTAAAACCACATTCTATTCCTAAAAACACCACCAACCCAATTTTGGGGTAGAAGGCTTACTTACTCTTGCAAAAAGGTTCACAGCTCTTTGAACCAGGGGGTAACATTGGTCACCACAGAAGTTGAAACCAAATATTTGGTTCATCTGCGGTGACCATGCGCATTCAGCAACAACCCCAATGTTTAGCCCATTCACAAAGATTGCTGCTGGGCATTTTTGCATGCAGTGCACCTAGCAGAAGTGGCCGAAATGCAGCAACCAATTAGGCCGTTCTTTGATGACACCCTCAATCCACTCTTTCAACACCCAAGAGTTTGAAGCCTCCGGAGTTTGTTCTCTTCATGTGGGTTTTGGCCCGGCTTGGATGCACATCCGGGAGCAAGCCCTGCTTTTCATTAATGTTCCCTTGCATTCACATCTCCTGGTAAAAGGACGAAAGGATATCATTCGCCCCGAATCTCCCCAGGCTGAATGTAAACAGCTTGCACCATGCTGCCTGTGGTCAAATCAGCTATTGATCCCAGCAATGGAATAGATTGGAATAGCATGATCACATCAACAAATGGTTGGAGTCATTGGTTGGTGTGACTCAGAAGCTGGATGACAGTGATGTTGTTCGCGTGTGATTCTGAATATGCAAGTTTCTCAATCACGTATGCAATAACTTTCATTGAACTCATGCGCAAGGTTGCATGAATTCTTCCAAGCGCAAGGTCGACCTTTCTTTCATATCGTGAAAAAGCCACACACACACATACATTCCTTCACTGGACTTAGGAAGCTATCAATATTGATTCATTTGACTATTGTTGTAACTGTCCTATTAATTTTGATGTTGAACAAGTTACATTATCCTATTGATGCTGATATATTATGTAATATACGTGTCCTATGTTGTGTTTATTGATGCACAAATTGGTACAACATATTAAACAAAATCAACATAAAGATTGCTGATTTCACAGCAGAATCGATAAGTAAAAGCGCTATTGATCCCAATCAATAGTGGCTCAATAGCAGATGCTCAGGAAAAACACGTCTGGGCAAACCATCGGGATGTTTTTTCATTGGAACATGGAACATCAAGGTTCACATGACCACTTTGTAACTACGTGCTTTTTCATTGGGCAAAGCCCCAAAAAAGTAAACCATCATCAACCACTCCATAGGACGATGAAGACTAACGTGGCCCTCCAAAAAAAACACACACACCAATACAATACTCGCACAGGTCCAACAGCGAACGGACGTCGCACACCAACACTTCTTCTGGTGCCGCCTGAGCATCTTCCGGTGGAGTTTTCAAGTCTTGCGGTGCCTCGAGAATCTCTGTGCGCGCAGCTTGGACGGACCGGGGGTCGAAAAGCTCAACCAAAAACAGGTAAATGTTAAAAGGTCTCAGGGATTGCGTGGGGTCGGTATAGGTGGGGCAGTCTAAAACCTCTGAAACTGCTGACTCAAGAACTGTGCAGGGGAGTTTGTTTGTCGTTTTTTTTGGACAATTGGTCAGGCTGTTTGGGGGTCCATGACTGGACCACACCCGTGGAAATGGGAGCTAGTCTCTCAGTATTTCTAGGTGATTGTTGTGTAGAGATCAACCTATTGAAATGATCAATGAATATCAATGATAACAATAGCATCTTGGTGCTGCTATGATTCAGCCAGCTTCCAAGAAAGCACTTCCAGTCACCCACTCCGGTCGTCCCTCTGTTGGCCAACCTGCCCCCACCTACCCCATCCACCCTCATTGTCCTCATTGTCCTGTATATGGGTGTGTATATGCGTGCATGGTGTCTCAAAATTGGGAGACCGCCTCCTTTCGGCGTTCTGACCCCCTAAAAATATCTGCAAAGTTCAGAAAATAGACCAGTCTACCCAGCCAGCTTGGTGATCTCCCTATGAAATGATACATGCTATCTTTTCCTCACCTGTTTCTTCAGCTCTTCTCCGAAGGGATCAAAACCTTCAGCAAAGACCTCCGTGGAAGGAACGCCGAGCACCTCATGGCAGGCTTGACACCAAGCCCCGCCGTCCGCGGAAGCAGGTTGAAAAGAAAGGCCGGGGGAGTCTGGAAAGAAGAAGGAGCCGAAGCTAGGAGCTCATATTCTCATGATACTCATGATACTCATGATCTCGTCTAGGAGCTCATAATACTAATGATACCATATTCTCATGATACTCATTGACTCATGATCCCCTCCACGTTTGTTTGTTTTTCTCCAGATACACTTTTTGACATTATCATGGTTACGTGGATGGCACCGCCTGTTTTGTAGAGGAACATGGTCATCCGAAATCGAGGCCATGCCATCCACTTGCATGACTATTCCAGGGAGTGTACCAAGTCAAATTGGGGCTGACAAGCTTGCAGTGCCTCGAAGTACTGTGATTGAGACATTGAGAAGCTGCTACCGTAGGGAGCTAGGGGAGCATGTGCATTGAGAAACACCTCATTGGTCAGTTTTCACCGTGCAACCACCCGCGAACACCTGGTCCAACAAGGACATGCACCAGCATCCGGTAGACCGTGAAGCTGAGGGAAACTTCAGCAATCTACCCGCCAATCTGTATGATATGAAGCTACACCACCGGAACCAAACCTGGGAGATATTTCTTGGTACAGCACTTCTTCAAGGTGCCTGCCAAAGACTAGACGCGGAAGGATTAGGAATGTAGAGCACATAAGCACATAGACCATCATTCTTGCCACAGAGAGGGAGTAAGCTTGCTCTTGCGAGAGAAGCAGGTATATATGCTGTCCACTTCTCAAATGCAAGTTGTCCATCTTCCCCTTACTACACAACAACTAGCTTGATGTTCACAAATGGCCACAACATAGTTCATTCATGTCTATTCACAAATAGTAATGATGCTGATAATGTTAATAGTATATACATAGTATAACTATATATATATATACTATAGTTATATATCTATTGTTTTTCGCATCCCAAATTCAACAGTGACCCAACAAACTACAGTAAATCACTGTGTCTCCCGTTCTTTCTTCCCAACAAGAATTGGTCAAGCCACCGAAAGTGCCGAAGCTGCCCATGCCTCTCGTCGAAGCAGCTCCCTAGTCGAGCGCTCAACGCGCTCTTCCCGGAAGAGGCTGAGGAATGGGCGCCCGGTACCTGTAGCGCAAATGAAGGCCGAACGGGGCTAACTAAGCTGCAATGGGAGGTGTATATCTGGAATGTGCAAACACCATCTATGAGTAACATGTACTAATAATACTATAGGCCAGGCTGGTAATGTACAGTAGTTAGTCAATTGCCTGTACTTACATTTTCTGGTGGTCAACAACTATCCAAGAATGGCAGCATGGACCTAGATTCTATGAACATGCATGCATACATCTCTATGGCAATTTCAATAGAAAATGGTGCCAAGAGTGCCTTCGGCCGTCACAACTGCTGAGAGTTCAAATGAACTGTGCAGCAAAATTACAGAATACCTACAACAGCAGGTCAAAGCGACGTTTTTCTCGGGTGGAAGTGGAGGGATGCAACTCAACAAAGCCCCTTTGTGGCCCCTTTGCATCGGGCCAGTGGCATGAACAGTCCGCACGTCGCGCGTTTTTAGGATGCCATCTTTGTCAGATTCTTGCTGCTATGGCCAGTGACAGGGCAAAAGAATAACAACACTTTGTGGGAGGATGTCGTAGCCAAACACTAAACACCACCCTGACCAAAAAATTGCATGCCAAGGATCCATGAAGAAACCTGCAGCGTGCACGCTGAAGTTACAAACAAAGCTGTGAGAACCAGGGATACCAGGATACCGGGCAAAAGTTTGGATGCTAAAGAAGGAACATAGAGTCTTCCCCACCTCAACCTCAACAACTCTTCTGGGTAAACAATACTACTACTACTACTACTACTACTACTACTACTACTACTACTACTA